GAGGAACCTCCAAGCCCACATCAAAGTCAAACATCCTGATTACTACAAACAGAAAATTGCTAGCCGGGAGTCCTTGTGCTAGTTACAGAAGTCTTTCTGGTATAAATAGATACATCTGTTATTAGTAATTATTTTTAATACAGAAAAATTACAATAATTTTAAAATTAAAAGGAAAACTATAAAAAAATCAAATTAATAAAATGTAGCAGGTGAACTCTCGTGGGGTTTGGTATGATGTCTAGTCACCAGGTGATTAGAACCAGTTGATGCTTCCTAAGTAAAGACAGCTCCCTGTGTTCATCCTCTTCATGCAGTTAAATATTATATGCACTCTTGATTTTGGTTTATCTCTTTTTATTTTTCTTCTAGCACCTTTCTAGTGATTTTAGTCTTTAATTTTGTTTTTTTGGTTTCCTCTCTGTCACTTAAGTACAAATGGCCTACCTGTGAATTATAAGTAAATCATGGGAGAATGGTATTCCCACCAGACATTTACACCCCCTTGTATTATCAAAAGGATTTAATTCAGTCACATTGTTGAATGGATCATAACTGCTTATATTAAATAAGTTATTTAATTTATGCATTTAAACATATTTAAAATATAATAAGTCATGTTAAACTTATACATTGTATTGTCTACAATAAGGAAAAAAGAATACGTCAGAGATCTTAAGCTGTTGCATTTATATATTAATATGTAGCAGTGCAAGAAGCAAAACAAGTTTTTGATGATTCATAAAAGTCTCTTTATTTTTTTGAGTGGAATGTTGATATTTCCTATATCAAGTAGCATTTGTGTTATCACTAACTTGGTATTTTCACCAGAATCATCACAGGCCAGATTTGTTGCGTAAAAAGTTCTAATGCAAAAGTCGAGTGGCTTTGCCAGTTTTCCTCCAAAATGGTAATCATTCCTTTCACCTTCTTGTGACATAGGGAGTATGAACAAGATGTTGATTCTCAGATGAAGAAAGTTCAAATTGCCAGAATAATTACAAGATGGTTTCATATTTTTACCCCCTTTAATACGTCCATTTTTGTAACCACCTTTTTTTTTTGATGGTGGAAGAAGCTGACATTCCTTAAATGTATCAAATGGAGACTGCAAAGTGATTTGTTGGTATTAATCAGGTAATTGTCACTTTACCTGTTTAACCTGTCTTTTGATCTCATGCTCCAATCATCAGGCTTCCACTGAAATGCATTTATAGCTTTTTTTTTTTTTTTTCTTCCCCCATCACCTTCATTTTTCAGTCGTATATAAACTAAGTGTATCACCAAGTGGTATCATAAGGGGGTGTATTGCTCAAGAGGCATAAAGTACACATATTTTAATATGTTATTTATTTAAGGTGACTTGGTCTTTGTTAGATTTAAAATTCCACAGTGTGCATTATACTGGAATAGCACAATGTGTTCACTTAATGAATAGTTTACAGTCTTCCTATCACACACTTACACACACTGTAACAGTGTTTACAATTTTTACAATTTTGTGAGCCACATGTTTGTTTACACCAGTTTGAATCAAGTGCAGATGCCTGACCATGTGTTGATACACGAATTCCTCTCAAGAGCAATCAAATGGCTCTCTCCAATGACAGGATAATTGTAGTTATTTTTCCAATAAAAACATCTTGTAGAACTCCTCGTCCTCTTTTGTCCTAAACTTGGGAACAAAATTTACCCGCACGATGTCTTCAAAACCTTCAGCTGTCGATGGTTCTTTATATTTGGAGCTTTTGTAAATAAAGTGAGAAAAAAATTGATGTTAATATTTTAATTAATAGATGGAGGTCATAGGAACAAGACCAGAATTTAGAATGCAATATATCTCTTGAAACAAAAGATTTGCAATGCATAATTTTGAGATCTGTGTAAAGAAATGGAACTTACCCATAAGAATGAAAAATCATGTCGCTGACTTTGGAGTGGTCAGCACCCGAAAATTCTCTGAACTGAAAATTAATTTTATGGTTGTAATAGAAAATATGCAAAAGTAAGTCTAATCCTTTCACTGATATGGATGTTGTTCAATGTCTGCACTTGTCACACCCCAGTGATACAGACTACATTCGTGAGAGTGTGTGTGCGTGTATATATGTGTATTTGTTTGTTTGTTTGTATATAAAAAATGTAAGTGTAAAAGTAAATTACAAGTTATCTATTATATGACAACAGGAGATTATTGGTGCAGGAACTAAAAGGAGGCTACCAGGCATATGACTAACTTCAACTATATCAGTATTTTCTTCTTAAGGAATACTGTAAAATACATTTATTACCTTATGCATAAGAAGGAATGTTCAAAACTGCTACAAATGCAGTTCAGAAAATACAGAAATAGTGTATCACGAAGGGGATGCATATCATTTCAGAGTGTATCAGTGAAAGGGTTAGGTCACTCTGAGTATGAATCATTATTGTCACTGTTATTCATTCTAGAATGTTAATCTTTTAAATGGCAGTTTAATCATAATCAAAATTTCTTTGGAAAATTAATTTGTCTTTTGTTTATCAACTTAAAATGGTTCAAAAAATCAAATTACACACCTTATTGTTATGCCTAGCATGATCTTTTGACACATTGAGGATGAAGCAGCGAATTGGAATGTTCATCTTCTTTGCAGCAGTAACATAGCGCTTCCGAGACTCAACATCAGGGTTAGTGTTGTCAATCAGAACATGCTTTCCTTCCTGGGAAGAAAAGAGAAAGAAAAAAAAAAGAAGAAAGAAATATAAATATAACAAGAGATCACCTATTTTTCTACAGTTCAATACTTATAAAGGTTATTCAAAATCAGCTTCTGATTTTGACAAAACATGCAACTGCTGATACTTCATATTGCAAAATCATCCATAGTAGAAGACATTGGCTCAAACTAAATAGGCAGTAATGTCAGAAACATGAAAGACTATGAGAGTATAAAATAAAATGGGCTCTCAAGTTCTATAAAAATACTTTACCTGCACAGATTTCTCCAGAATAGACACACACTTCTGCCAGGTACCCACAGTGTCACGGTTAGCTACAACATAGCCTAAGGGAGCAAAATGGCTCTCTGCAAGGAAGCTTTTCCCTGCTCCAGGAAACCCAACTAGAACCACTACCTGAAATAAAGATCCAAAATTCAACTAGCTCACACTTAAATAACTGTTCTAGATATTTGCGGTATACATATCCAAAGACAAAGAAAGGTGAATCAAGGTAATAAGAGATCTTGTTGCTGTTTTTTCATGAGTATCACCACATTCATCTTTGAAGACTAAATCATACCAGGAACAAGCTTAAAATTCATTTATCATTGCTGACATTGTGATACTCTCCCAAAAGGTCCAATGTGCCCTAATATCTATCTTCCCAGACCTTGCACAAAGCCTGAACACTCACCTCAGTCTTGAATTTTGGAACTTTGGTGGTTGGTGGATCAAATAATTTCAATGAGTCGTCAACTGCTCGTGGGTCAAATTCAGGCATGTTGAACTTCTGAGTTTTAACACCTGGAAGGGAATTTGGAAAATATATTAAAACAAATTTCCATACCTATATCTTCTCTCACTCTCACACTCTCCCATGTGCACGCCCACACGCACATACACACATATTCTCTCTCTCTCTCACACATAAATATATATAAACATAACAATACTATTTATGGGTAAAACAAAAATAGACAATACTATATCAATCTCCAAAAGATAACTTGTATTTAGTTCCTTGTATTAGCAAGTGAGTGCTTACGAACTACCACATCAGGCTGCATTTCACAATATAAACAGAACTCTACCAAAACCTCAGTATCTGTCCTACCCAGAAAATGCTCCTCAGGAGTGTAGAAGCTGATGCCCAGATTGAGGGCAAAGAGACGGTCATTTGAGGAAAAGTCTTTCTTCTTCTTGCCTTCAGCTGGCCTGCCTGCTGCATCACCTATGTACATACTTTTGCTCATGTCGACAGCCACACCTCCATTGGCCTGATGAGAGTATTGTATTGTGCAGTTAGTCAAAAACACAAATACATTTACTTACATTCATATTTAAAGGATAAATGTGTGTGTGTGTGTGTGTGTGTGTGTGTGTGTGTGTGTGTGTGTGTGTGTGTGTGTGTGTGTGTGTGTGTGTGTGTGTGTGTGTGTGTGTGTGTGTGTCAGACTAAGTATTAACACCTATGATCTAGAGTGTGATATGTACCACCCATGACTCATGACTGGAAGAGCACTGGCTCCAGGGAGTATGCTATTTCCATGTTCAAGATCCTATTTCTGCCTGCCATGACTAGCAGCACAGATTGTATTACAGAAGATGGAATTTTAGAAATTAAAAAATCACACAAATAATAAAGTATTACTTATGTTATTATCACTGCAATATGTTATGGTCTACCTAGAGAGATGCAGGGAAAACAGTCTAACACGATCTGGATAAAGCAAATCAAATGACAAATATAAACAATGGAAAATGGCTAAAAGCCTTAAAAAGTCTTATGCACAAAAAGAGAAAATAACAAGCTGCACACCCAGTTGAGTGGCCACTAAAGTAAGACTAATGCCCGTATTTTAGGCCATATGATGGTAGGGAAGCATCAGGATCAAGTGGATTAACAAACTTCAAATAATAATAAGAAAATGAGTGCAAAAACACATCAAAACAAAAACACCAATAGATGCCACAAGAATCTATGGACAGAATTCTGGTAGTTGCTATGGGCAATTTCTGGTGAATGCAATTAACGAACCTCCTCCTGCAGAAACTCCCACATGCCAGTGCATGGCTTCCTCCATTTCCCTTTGCCTGTGGACACGAAGACTTGAATGGGGACGCCCAACCTTTGAATGATGTTGCAAATCTTATTCTGTATTCCCGAAACAGTCTGCTTCCCTTTGCCTGTGAGTGACAAATATGAACATCAATGTTTTTGTGAATTTTTATATGCCTATCAGTAAAATGTATGATAAAATTAAATGACAATGCAATGAAGCTGAGACTTGGCCTTCTA